AGCCCCTGTAACCATGACATTATAGCATCAAGTCATGGTGAACCTGCTGGCACCCACCAGCAGGATGCCCTCCAGGGCAGTGCTGCGGGCTCCCCTCTTCTCTCTCTGCCCTGTCACATGGTGACAGCTATCCATCCCTGGTTCTGAAGATCTCAACAGGCACAAGGTTTTCACTGTAGTTTGAGATACTCATGATGATTTCATTGGCAAAAACTTCTTAGGAGTCTTTGGCAAATTTAGGCACCCAATAGCCAGATATTGAAAATCACTTGGGAGCTAAGGGTTACGGAATGATAGCTGGTGATACTTCAAGATGCCCTTAATTTCCACTAACTCTTAAAATATGAAATTTTGGTACTGTCATGTACATGCCTTAATTGTGGGTTTTAGTTTTTTTGGGTTTTTTTTTTCTTGTCATCAACCCTGCCCATTTTCCAAGGCAGACTAGGTTTAGAAATACAGATACCAAGAAACAGTGATCATCTGTAAACGAGAGACCCTTAGCACTGCCATGGCACTGACTGAGAGAGCCATACACCAGTGTGAGCCTGGACATTGCTCCCAGGGAGAGCACAGAACTGCCAGGGACACAGAGGCATATTCGTAACATAACTCTGCACTACAACAGGCAGCCATGATGGCAGAAGAGCTGAAGAAGGAGCAGGACACCAGTGCCCACCTGGAGAGGATGAAGAGGAATCTGGAACAGACGGTGAAGGACCTGCAGCACCGCCTGGATGAGGCTGAGCAGCTGGCTCTGAAGGGAGGCAAGAAGCAACTCCAGAAACTAGAGGCGAGGGTATGGTGAAAACAAGGGTAGGCTAAGGTCATGTTCCTCAGTGGGTCCTTGGTTGCTGGAACCTCTTGGGAAGATTACAACAGGGATAACCCCAGGTACCTCCAGCAGCTTTGGCAGGAGTTACACTGAGTAGTCAAGCATTGTACTGTGAGTGAGGAACTGAAGAATGACCTCGTAAAAATGGAGTGGCCAAAAATGGTGGCAGGTGAACACCAAGACATAAATGGTAACTTCTCTAGGGAAAAAATAATTTAAAACATACTTGGGGATGAACTTAGAACTGGCAATTATAGCTCAGTGAGGAGATCTCAGTCTCATCCATGACTGTCCTCAGAAAAATGCTAATTCAATGTGCAGTAGAAGCAAAAACCCGAAAGAGGAAAGATGTTTGGCTTCACTAGGAGAGGCATGGAGAACTAGACAGAACAGCATCACTTGCACTCTATTAAATGTACCATGTGCAGTTCTAGTCTTTGCAACTCAAGAAAGATCTGACAGAGAAGTGTCCAGGGAATGGCAACTGAGTGGGTGGAGCCTTAAGAGGAGAGACAAGCAAGGCTAAGGCTCTTCCATCTGTACAGGACATGGCTGAGGGGTGGGTGATGCGATCAAAGTTTACAGCATCATGCCAGCAGTGACCAAGATGTATTTTGAATGGTTATTATTAAATGCATAATACAAGAAGGACACATGATGCATATCAGGACATCTTCACCTGGAGATCAGTTAAATCAATGACCTTTTTGAACCAAAAAGGATTAGAAATGAGCAGGTTTATAGACATACATAAAGCGACAGACATAGACACACCACCCCACTCCTCTAATGACTGTGGAAGATGTAGAAGTGTGATGGGAGTAGACAGCGGCCAGGTTTCCATGATGTCCCTAAATAGTGTGCGCTGCTGTCACTTCCAGAGGCTGAGCATTGGGCTAGGTGGACCATTTGCCTGACCCACGTACTGCACTCTTCAGCTCTTCCTGTTCCAAAATACAGCACACCTAACTGGGAATTAGGTGCTCTTGGCTTTGAAGGGAAATACCTCCACAGAAATAAAAACATTGGTATCCAAGTTTGACTTATATACACTGCAGAAGAGGCAGGGAGATATGGGAGGTTGTTAAGGACTATGCATGAGGATGAACTGTATGTGAATGTGACAAATGAAACAGATTTTCCCCATTTACCTGGTGGACATTGTCAGAACCCTCCCTTCCCTGATTCAATTTCCTCTCCTCTGACAGATTTAAGCCTTATTTTGATTATAAATGCCCCAGGTATGCACAGCTAAGTTCCTTCTGGAAATAACTATGGATTTGAGCACTCTGTCATCACTAATGCAGCATGGTGAGCAGCATTAGCTAGTCTAGCCCCAAGAGGCAGCTGCAGGAAGCTGCTCTGCACTGCCACTTTCTCCACAGCCATAGCCCACAGAACCCTGGTTTGCAGGATCCTGCAGCAGGATCAGCAGCCACTCTTGGCAGCTTGCAGTCTGCACCATGATCCTATTTTTCAGATTCATGAATTAGAACACGAGCTTCATGCTGAGCAGAAACGAGGAATAGAGTCACTGAAAGGTGCTCGGAAGTATGAACGAAGGCTGAAGGAGCTCACGTACCAGGTATTTCAAATCCTCTGCCCTCTTACATGAATCACCTTGGTCCATCTTCCACAGTTGACTTGATTTTCACCTCCCACAGTCTGAAGAGGATAAGAAAAATATTCTCCGGCTCCAGGACCTGGTGGACAAGCTGCAGTTAAAAGTGAAAGCATACAAGAAACAGGCTGAAGAAGCTGTGAGTGCAGGACTCTTCTTAAAACTTTGTGGGCCTGGGGTGGAGATTACCAAAAGGTCTGGGCTCCTAAGTTCATTACAATAATTGAATATTCAGTTTGACTGGGCAGCTATGGCCACTGTCTTTGAATATTCCTTGCCTCATAAAGGACTGTGACTTCACAGCTCACCACAGAGCAAGGCACAGCTGTAGTTAGCCTGGAGTTGTAGCACTTTCAGAGCCACACTTGCCAATTTTCCTAGCTGGAACGGAGCAGGACTAATTGTTCTGTCCCAAGCTGAGTGTTCATGTTGTTGGCAGTACTAGCTGGAAATGCACGGAGAGCTTGCAATGCAGGGATGTAGCTGAGAGGCTACACAGGTGATGTTACTGTGGTGCAGCCACAGGGTGTTCCATTAATGGTAACAGGGCGATGTCAGTTTGTTGTCATGTCACTGATGGCACTGCATGGCTTCCAGGAAGAACAGGCAAATGCCAATCTCTCACGATGCCGCAAGGCCCAGCACGAGCTGGAAGAGGCTGAAGAACGAGCCGATATTGCTGAATGTCAGGTTAACAAGTTGCGAGCCAAAAGTCGTGACATTGGAGGACAGGTGAGTTGGAGGCCTGCAAGAAGGACTATTTCTGTGCAGCAAGCACCATAAGGATTTCAGACTGAATACCTGGCAGCCACAGCTGTATTCCTCCCCCTCTTGCACTGGAGCGCCTTCATAAAGGCAGGCCAGAAATTGTTACTTGTTCAAAACCAGTGGGTTTTGAAAGTCCCTTTGTTGCCTACTAAGGGAGACCAGATATGACTGACTCTAAGAATCCAAGTCTTTCAGTAGAGAGATTTTTTTTGCCGGTAATATGGCAGAAACTTTGCAATAGCCACAGGCCTGAAGCAATCCTACAAATAATTCAATTGTTCCGACAACCTCAACATTGTCTTCCTTTTTTTTTTTTTTTAGAAATCAGAGGAATGAGGCTCCTCATCAGAGCTGCAGCAGGCTCTCTTAGAACATAGATTTCTGTGCAGCCAATGGAGATACTCATTACTTGCTTCAAGTAACTAGGTGTGCATGTAACTGATCTCTGGCCTTGTATTTAGCCAACCCTATGCAGAAGCTGTGAGAAATAAAAATAAACCTGGGTGCACTCTGGTGACTCTTAAGTGCTATTGGTTTGTTATGAGATTGACAGTGAGCATTTGTGGATGGATGTGGCAGGTATGGTGGTGGTGGTCCCCAAAGTCCACATTATGTTCTATGCAGGGAAAAGGGATCCCGAGGCAACAGGAACACACTTGTCTGTTGTTTTCCACGTTTTCAAATTCCCTGCTCCAGGAGGGGGGCGGGGGA